AAAAAAAAAAAAAAAAAAAGAGGAGCAGAGACCTGGGATGGCACAATCTTGTCTCTCCTACCCCATGTGATGCCCTGCACCACCTCAAAACTCTGCAGAGAATCCCCACCAGCAAGAAGGCTCTCACCAGGTGCTGGTACCATGCTCTTGGACTTCCCGGCCTCCAGAACTAAGAAATAAATTTCTTTTCTTTATAAATTACCCAGCCTCAAGTATTCAGTTACAGCAACAGAATATGAATTAAGATACCCACTGTCACCTGAAACTCCAAAGCACAGAGGAAGCAGCCCTGCCCAGAGGTCTGTAAAGAGACAGAGTCCTCTGCCAACTGGGGGTATTTCCGAGGTCCTTCCTGATTCTACAGTTCTCCGTCTTGTTTGAATTACAGCCGCTGTATCTTCCTGGCCACCACTCCCTCTTCTGGTGCCCAGCTACACAGTCCATTCAGAAAGAACACTAACACTGCAGCTATGTTGTTGTCCCCAAATGCTACTTTACCCATTTCACTGCTGTATTAGTCTGTTTCTGTTGCTTATAACATAAATACCTGAAACTGGGTGATTTATAAAAAGAATGAAATTTTTTGCTTATAGTTTCAGAGGCTGATAAGTCTAAAGTCCCGAGAACACAACTGGTGAGGGTCTTCTTTGGTTGTGGTTTTATAGCAATAAAGGGGTCTTGTCGCAGAAAGTGGTCAGCAGAGAGCGAGCCACGGCTCCTTGTGTGCTCTCCTTTTAAAGCCCTCAGAACCACACTCCTGACCATCACTCTTAATCCATTCACTACAGCAGGGTGCTACAGTCTCATCACCTCTTCAAGGCCCCACCTTTCAACGACCATAATAGGATTTTCCACCATCAGCAGTAACAGTGGGAATTAAGCTTCAATGAGGTTAGGGCATGGGCATCCAGTCGACAGCAACTGCCATGAGCAAAGACTTCTTATAAAATTACCTAGTGATAAAAATAATGCTTTCTCACAATATACAATTTGATAATACAGAAAAACACAAAGACGAAAATAAGCACCACCCAGAATCCCACCACTTGGAGGTCATCACTGTCAACATTTTAGTATCCATATGTCAATTTGTTTTCTAAGCATATGTTCCTCTTTAAAATCATACTGTACATTCTTTTCATATGTCAACTTTTGTGAATACCTTTCAAAAATCATTACAGGGGCTGGGTATCACCATGGTTAGGCCCTGTTTAACCACAGTGATTCCAGAGCCAGATAGCCTGGCTTTGGGTCCCAGCTCTGCCACTTGCCATCAGTACAACCTCGACCAAGCTACTTAACCTCTCAGTGCCTCAATTTCCCCTTGTGTAAAATGAGTTCAGTAACAGTATCCACCCAAGGGAGGTGTCGTATTAATGCCAAATGCCCATATACAAACTCCTAACATCAAATTATTTTTAAAGTTAGTCCAACATATAGATAGAACATTACTTAAAAATTCTATTACTGAAAATGTGATTGTTTCAAACACTGAAAACAAAACAAAACCCTTTCAATGGCTTATCTCTACTGGGATTCAGGAGAACTGGTTCTTGCCTCAGCTTTGCTCCTAAACTGCTGTGCAGCTCTGGGCAAATCATACCACCTCTCTGGTCTTCTGATTCATCTTCTAAATGAAGGGGTTGGAACAACTGGTCTCTCAGGCCCCCATACTCCTGCCCTCCGGCTTTGATTGGTGGTCTTAACACCACTGTTTGGGTTTAGGAAGGCAAACTTAAGGCTCCAGGAGCAAGGGTTACCAATGGTCATATGGTCCCTTTGTGTCTTAAGGGAGAGAAAACAGAACTGAGGGTCAATCAGGAAAGCAGCTGGGAGGACGAGACCAGAAACAAGAGAGTAGGGGGGTCTCTCATGAGGGGTGACCAGGAAAGAGGCTGCCGGAGGGCACAGGGGCTTCCCTGAGAGACACGCTGACTTGGAGAATCTACCATAAAGACCCATGACCTTAGAGCCCGAGGGCCCTGGAAAGCGCTCTAGGCCTGGCCATTCATAAGCTGAGTGACTGCTGGAGTCACCTAAACTCTGTATTTTGTTTTTCTCAACTGTGAAATGGGCGTGAAAATGGTATAAATGGGGTTGTCAAGAGCGTGAAGTGGGTCACTATGTGTAAAGCACTTAGGATAACAGCGGGCACCCAGTGAGGGCTTTATCAGCATTAAATAAAACAAAGACAAGCCAGGCTGCAGGTTGAAATGCGGTGGAGCTTAGAAGAGCAAACAGCCTTCATAAAACGTGAAGGGGGCGCCCAGCCTCAGCCTGCTTTCTGCCTGCTGGATCGGCCCCGCCCGGTGGCCACACTTGCCTCCATGTCCTCGGGCCAAGCCCAGCTCTCCTCTCCCCCCCTCTCCCCCTGGGTTCCCCAGCCCCTGGAGACCCACCCAGTTTTACTAGCTCCTCCTGATGTCCCACCACCCATATCTACTTGCTTCCCAGGACCTGGAGACACCCTTCCATCCATTCCTCACCTCCTCTCCATTTCACTCCTAAGTGGCCTCCCTGTCTCTTGTCTCCCCCACTTAGAATCCGTCCACACACAGTTAGGGGACCGCTCAACCTGGAGCCCAGCTCCCCTCAGAGGTCACTCACCTGTGAAAATCCCCTTCTAACATGGTGCACAGAGTA